TCGCCCCTATATTTTTCCATCCCCCCATCTTTGCTCCCACGTGACTTTTTTTTTTCTCTCTCTACGAGGCTTTTCAACCTGAATTTCTTTCCTCAGTTCCGAGCTTGCCGTCAGCTTTTACTCTTTTTCGGGGAAAAATTGGTCTGGTTATCTGGGACGCGAAAATGTTACGGGCCTGTGCGGAAGATCGTAGCTCAGGGGAGGAAAAACAATACCTGCCAAGCGCCTCGGGTGGAAAAAAACTCTTTACCGATAAGGGTTTTTGGATTGTGAAAGAAATCACCCACACTTGTACATCTGTAGGCGGGCTCCGTGCGCCTCTCTTGCGTAACAAAGTCCGAGTTTTGGACGATTCTCGCACAGCCTTTTTCGGTGACACGTGTCGTTGATTCGGCATGAGTTTACCATTTTCTTCAAATTTACTTCAGTTGTAAAACGTTGCTTCACGCGATTGATAAACTTTTATTTGCATTATTTTGAGAAAAATAACTCTCTGGATTTTTTTTACATGTATAAACATTTTTATTTTTGCTAGTTTTTACTATTTAACATTATTTTACAACAAAAATCGTGCGACTGTAATATTTTTTTTTAATCACAAGAGGATTGTTATTACCTCGAGATAATCCGTCAAAACTAATTATTTCGTTTCACGTAAACACATAAAAAAACTGGCATTAACTTTATTTATGAACTCGTGCACGTTGAGTAATCGTTTTTTTTTTAATATTGAGACAACAAAGTGAAACCTTTGCAGAAACTTTTATGTGAAAATGCAAAAAAAAGTTTTTTTTTTTTATCTGCTACCAAAAAAATTTGGAAATTCTAGCTTGCGATCCGTTGTCAAAGTCAAAAAGACACCTCCAAGTCTTACACCCGTAATACAACTGCAGATGACGATAACAACGTAGGCCGTGGCTTGTAATATTTTCCAGGTGAAAATTGTTTCTCTGACCTCGGGAAGGCACGCAGCATCGTGCAGAGAGCCCAGACTATTGGGGCCAAAAAGTAATTAATCAGGCCGCTCGGCGTGCAAAATTCAGGCCAACGACGTCGAGGGAGACGGCCTCGGATCTCGCGGGACGGATGACAATTATTCCTCGAGTTAAATTGTACCATAAATATCCGGGTTAGCGGAGCAGTCCTCGCTACCAGGCACTCAACACGCGTCCCTCCCTCTGCGGGAAAATAATAAAGTATTCCCGATGCCCTGCCCTCAAACATTAATTACCACGACACAGGCGAATCCAACATTCATCGGGGCCATTAATACTTGAGCTGGCCTTGTTTTCAAATCGAGACGATCCAAAATGCAAATCGCAAGCTCACCGGTACTTGGGGTTTTTCTTATTTTTCGTACAGCTTTTCGTCCCTGGCACTGTTGTCACTTGGATCGATTTCACCTCCTTCCTTTGAATTAGCGAGTGAATTCCATGGCAGAAGGAAAACTAAATCCATTCCTAAGTCGTAGGGGTAAACTTTCGGGGAATATATCGTATCATTGCATTTCATTCAATCAAGTGTGAAGAAGCTTTGTGCCATTTTTTCCTTGAGATATTACTTGGTGATAACTTTCTTCTCTAAACCATCAATCTATTCGAGTGAACCCAGGTTCCGCGCAGCCTGTGACAGCCTCAAGGGTAGTTCCTGCCTCTCGAGAAAAGAGCCGTCGCTCCGATCGGGCCGATTTCGTCGAATCGCGAGAGCGGCGGCCTATTGTTTGCTTCGTCTGTCGTAGACGCGGAATAATGGCACGGCCGGAGAGTCTACATCGTCGAAGCCGAAAATCGCCTGGAGCGCGTGCTTGTCTCGTTAGCCATTCCGCCCAGCCAAGCCGTTCCACAATTGCTATGGTGGTGGGTTTTTGTGAAAATTTTCATTTCGGAAAAAAGTTTTCATTGAGAGTGAAAACTTCATGCATGCAGATATCAGGTTCTTTCCTCTGTGACCGAGCTTTTTTTCTCGATGGATGGCAAAAGCGATTCTTTGATTCCCAGTCACTTTTGTTACGCGCTTTGACCTTTTCCCTCTGCCATGCTTCTTTGGGGACGAGTATTAGGAAATGTAAAATGTTGCTGGGAAATATAATGCTTGTGTACACCCTTCTTTGTTTTTGTTTCCTTATTTTTAGGCTGGGCACTCTGATGCATTAGTTCGGAAGCCCCACGGGTACATTACAGCGATGGGTTGGCAGGGTTGAGTTTTTTTTCGCAATGTCTGTTTACTAAGTACATAAAACTTTTTTGATGAATAATAGCAATATGGGAGAGTGTGCTTCTCGTGGTATGTGATTTTTATTTTGATCTGTGATCTCGAATTCTTTTGTTTTAAAGTTTAATAAAATTTCTTAACTTTTGTTACCACTTTGCATGAAAATGCGCTTATTGTACATGACAGCATTTAAAACAAAAATGTGCGCATCGTAAAATTTTATGTTCTGACGTAAAAGTCTTTTTGCGTATAAAAATATCCGCTTCTATCATTTTTTGCAGTTCAACAAAGAAAAGGAGACGAGCCTAGCTACAACATAATTTTCCAAATATCACAATGGAACTTGTCGTTAAGATATGTCTACTGTTAACTCTTTTGAGCATTTTTATTATGGAAGGAAATGCTATTCCAAAACGTAAGTTACTTTAATCTCTTTTCAATTTGTTTTTACAATTTTACAAATAATTTTTTTTATTTAATAAATTTTGATTTATTAACATAGAAATACAATATAATGATTTAACTTTCATGTTTTGTAGCCTTGATAGCAGACATACTTGCACCACTAGATGCACGCGGTAATAGACACCATCTCGTTGATGGCCAAGCACACTTGGCGTTGGGATAGATCACTCCTGCTCATATTTTTTAATGTTGTCATAAATACTTTACTGTTATCGAATAAAATTTTTTAATAGGATGGCATTAAAAATCTCAATTTCTAGTGAATAAATTAATAAATCAATCGATAACTTTTTTGTGTTACAATTATTTGACGTGATCACAGTCTCCATTCCTTTTGCCAATATAGCCTATTTGTTTTTTTTTTTTTTTTTTAATTTCTATAAATTTTTCTTAACACTGGTAAACCACATGTATTCAAATTATTACGTATTTGGAAACATGACATCTGTATTTCTTATATCGCATAAAATTCCTTGTTCCAAAGAAATACAATTAACATGAAAACATTTTCTATTCAATTTCTTAACACTTTTCCTTATTCTTGCTATCATAGGCATTTATTTTTTTACTTCTTGTTTTGAGAAAATAAGTTCATTTTGCGTCTACTTGGAACATACTAGATTTTCAGTAAAATCATCATAGAAGTATAACAAGAAATTTTTTTTTTTAACAGTTTTTCTATACAAAATTTTTTTTCTTAATTTTTAGTATGTTAGAATAATACTCACGGACATACAAAAAATTTACCTTTTAACTTACGTTTCAGTACTTCTCAGTATTTTTTATTTTTTTTTTTTATTAATTCAAGTACAGAAAACTAGTGGCCATCTGAGTATGGATCACTTATACCTTCAGGAAAAGCATGAAAATCCAATGGCACTTTGACAAGCTATTTTAGAGTTAAGTATGATCAGCTGTTATTGTACTCGATAAAGTAAAAGAAAATTAAACAAACTGAAACTTCATGTCGATATTCAGGACTAAGAATATCCTCCACAATTTTTTTCCAGCTGAAAGCATATGCTTTTAAAAATTTTAGGCGAAAAACAATCTTTTGGCAATATTAGCCAACGAAACATTATATCAGTAAAATTTGAGAAAAAAATTAAATTAATAACAATGTCGGAAAAAACTACTGTCTGATCATTTTAATCTTAAATACTTCAGAAACTGTAAATAAACATGAAATCAAGACTAATTATACGCTTTCAAATGACAAATAATTTTTGAGAATGAAATAAAAGAATAGTTTGTAAAATAATTTATGCTTATTTAACCATACATTTTTTATTGAATAGGGTGAAAATTTATCTTGAAATAATGAAATATCTTGTATGTGTCTGATTGTTTAAGAGAAGGTTTCGACAGAAGTAGCAAAACTTGTAAGGGAAAATCAGACGATGGCATTAAATCAACACTTATTTTGTACAAGATTAAATTTTGTGCTCGCTCAAACATTAAATCAGTTTTTCCATTCACAACCTTCATTTATTTTAAACGTGATATTGTACGTTTATGTTTTATGTTTGGGAGGTCAATTTCAAGTCATTTCGACATGAAAATAATTTTTTCTAATAATCTTTTGACCTTACAATGACACTGCTATTACTATTGAACATTATTATGATACACATTAACGATTTATTTAATAAACAAAGTTTCAATCATTGCTATAGTTTATGACATATATAAGAAATTTTTGCAATTGAATAGGACACAATGCCTTTTATTTAAAAGGTTAGGAAGGTATACTCTTTGCTCAAATTTTTAAATGGTTATTTTTTTGGAAACAAAATTTTCGTAAGGTCAAGATTTTTGCTTTAGTTTACTGTCAAAAAATTTTTTTTGTGAAAAAAAATGGTAGCTTCATCGTAGTTTAAAAAAAAGAAATTGTTTGTTTGTTTGAGATATTGTTCTACTGGTGATTAAGGTGAAAAGGCTTCATATGAAGTATTTTCAGCCTGCGGTGTATGGTTTTGGATAAGTATTATAAATATTTTACATAGTTATACAATTCTTGCATCTCAATCGTAGGATTCTTCATTATTATGGTTGCAAAAATATTTTATACATAATTTAAAAATCGTCCTGTTTCCTTGTTTCCTAAAACGCATTTAAATTTGTAAGATAAATTAAAATTTTTTTTTGTGAATTATGTTTCCTGTTGCATTTAAACTCTTTGTTATTTTCCAACGTAAAAATACCTATGTTTATTGTTGATGATAGCATTTTCTAAAGTATGTGGACCGTAAAATTTTATTGTCCTACGTGACATTTTTTTGTATATAAACCGTTGCTCTTGACATGTCATCGCAGTTCGTTAAAATAGTATAACACTAGTTCTAATATAATATTTTTTCCTGACGCCATCATGGGATTCGTCGTGAAGATTTGTCTACTTTTAACTCTTTTGAGTATCTTCATCTTGCAAGGAAATGGTGCCCCACGTAAGTAATTCTGAATTATTGTTGCTTTATATTTTTTAAATTCGTATTGTTGAATTTGTGTCACTTAATTTTAATGAATTCATAAGTTAAAAATCTCGTTAGCCATTCCGCCCAGCCAAGCCGTTCCACAATTGCTATGGTGGTTTATATTGCTTATATTGTTTTTATAAATAAACCATACTCAAAATAATTCTATAATGTTTGGGATTTTATCGGTTACTTTGATGGGTTGTGACTCAAAANGAAAAGATTATTTATTTACCCTAGAAATAGTAGTTTCATCTAATAGTTTGTAAAGCTTTCTAGTTTCAACGTAAATTCTTACATATACCCTCCATCGTATTATGACGGTTAAATAACCTTTATTCCTTAAACTTTTTATGTCAATAAAATAACATACATTTGATCAGGATTCAACATTTTTCTGTTTTTTTCCAAACCTGATTTAGGTAAATGAATATTTTTGATAGACATCGCTCTTATTATTCTTATTATTAGAGCTTGTACTGTACTACTACCTAATTCTAGTGCACGATTTAGTTATTTGTTGTATCCTCATAGATACTCAATTACTTAAAAGGATGAAAACTAAAATTTAAAACCTTGTAAAAAATATAGGACAATAAGTATTTTTTTTAAAGACAGTGTCACAATGCTTGGATATAAATCCCAGTTAGAAACGGCTGTAAAAAATATTTAACTTTTGAGTTGACCCTGCTGGGATAAAACAAACTTGGGCTACACAAAAGCACGACAAGAACTACATCTTATACCTTGACAAGACATACCAACTAAAAACTGAACATATTTAATGATTTCGATGTTTTTTGAAGCCATGTCTTCTACTTACTCAGAAATTTCTATAAAAAATAAAACCACTAGGCTTTTGACGCATAGTTATCCCACAAACGCGAAAATAGTAATTAAAACTTTTTTTTTATAGAAGAAACTATGCCAGAATATCAACCAAGACGCCTTTTCGATACTGGATTTCACGTTGGATTAGGATAACCACTGTTTCAATAATTCCAAGAATATCGTGTATACTGTGTTATAATTTAATTGTATACGATGATTCAACAGCTCCTACGAGCTAGAAAATGAATAAATAAATAATCAAATTTGTATCTTGCAATTATTTTAGTTAATACAATTTTTTCACCACAACTCTTATCATAAGTTAACAAATCTCTAATTTTTTTCACCAATAAACCGTATACAAATTTTCAAATCATTATCACTCTAAAATTAAATCAGTGAAAATTTGATTTTTAATTCTGCAGCAAATACAATTTTAGTACGCTGTTATAGTTGAGGTAAAAAATTGAAAAAAAAAAAAAATATATACAGTTTTATCAGGTTGGTGACTCGTTAGTATAGAGAAAATTCAAAAATAAACTAAGGTACCGTAAATAGCACCCAATTTTGTACTGATTCTCTTGATTGAGTCAGGTTTGGAGAGTATATTTTTTAAAATAAGTGCCTGTACTTGCCATGGAGATATTCACTTTATAAAATCATTTGGATCTTATTTGACAAAGAATTCTTAAACTTATATCATTAAAATATATGAAATATCTATTGTTACAAATAAAGGTCTCATAAAATGGCCCCCAAAAATCTTGTGAAATATATGAAATCCCGTAACAAATCTGGACACACACTGCTTACAAATAAATATTTTGAACTTTATTTGTAAAAACAAGGAAAGAATTTTTGTTTTGCAATGCTAAAGAGTAATTTTCCATGGACTAGATAGAAAATACCAGAAAGAGTTTACAGTATTTTGTGATAACGATTTCGATAACAAATAATACCAACAATAGAATTTTTTTCTTCTGATCCTATCATGTACTTTTTCTCTTGATGAAGTATATTTTTTTCCAACGATTATCAAACGAACATTAAAACTATATTAAACGATCTAAAACGACTATGACTATTATTTTAAAATTATTATTGAAAAGTTTTAATGTTAAATCATTTGATCTCCTGGCGAAAAAGTGAAAGGCTTTTTGTTATTGATATCATCTGTATTGTAGATGCCATAACAATTCTTATGCATAAAAATGTAAAGAACATTAAGTTAAGTATCAGATTTTTTCACTTAGGCTTGTTGATTTTAAAGTCAGGAAAATAAGCTCATTTGCAGACTAAGACTTTGGCTTTGAAGTTATACTATTATAATTTTTGTTATGTATTTTTCTTTTATTGAGTCTTCCTTTAATATTCATGATAATTTTTTTTATTTCATAATTAATTTAATACAAGTGTATCGTGTAATTTTTAATATGTATGATAATCTCAAATTGGTTAATACATATTTTGTGCAGCTATCGAACAATACAATACATCATGAAAAAAATTGGAAGTATACGATGATTTAAAAAACATTGTTCAAACGTAACTATTATTTTATTTTCAATACAAACAAAAATTTTAATGATTAAATTGGGTTTTTTATAATTTTTTCAATTTTTAAAATTAATTATTTTCTCTTTAGCTTCTAAATTTGTGCGTTTAATTTACATAAAGATATACTTATCGTCAGTGAAGGAATTTTTAAAAATGTGACTTAAAAATTTATGTTCTAACGTAATAGCTTTTTTTGTATGTATAAAATGTTGCATCTTTTTTTTTAGTTTAATGAAAAATAGACAAGCCTAACTATAACATACTTCCCAAGTACCACGATGGAACTTATAATTAAAATATGTATATTGTTAACACTTTTAAGCATCTTTATTATAGAAAGAAACACTGTCGCAAAACGTAAGTCATTTTAGTCCCTTTTTAATCTGTTACAAAAAAAGTTCCATATTAGATACAATTTTATAAGTTTGCTTACAAAACTGTACAAAAATTTTAATTGTTATAACTTTCAGCATTCATCGGGAAACTATATGAGCCACCAAAATTGACTCATAAACCTCGTGAAAAACGGAGCTTACGTAACAACAGATATAATTTTGGATTGGGGTAAATCCTTTGCTCTGCACATTTTTCAACAATGTTTTCAATTTTCATTGTTATTGACTTCTTTATACATATATGGGTGATTCTGCTACAACTTGCTCAGATCGACTTGAACAATTTTTTAAAAAGAAGTTGGTTAAAAAAATTTTTTTTCATGATTTTTCTACTGTACACTACATCACTAACAAATATCTAAAGCAATGCAATTATCTGGTCAAAAGTTATACGAAATTTTATAAAAGTCAGTTTTCATCAATTTTTTAATAATTGTATCTCTTTCTAACATATTACACCTAAGGTCGAAGGATTGTTGAATAAACAAAGAAATATTCTCCAACTAAACTTGAATTTCCAAAGTTGTGTCTTTGTCATATTGATTATTGTGTCTCTTTTGTACCTTTAGCCCGTAAACAGAAGGCACATCGCAATAATTTCCAACGCTATACGCATGCTTCTCCATCTGCAACAAAGCCTCTTCCACGATACCACCAAAGTCATATCTCGAGATCCGCACTTCCGACCGAAACCCCCATTTCGCGGCCCCTTCTCATCAAAATCATCAAAAACCACCCCACGCAGCACACACAACGGCGCGCACACAGCCATCCGTTCCATTACCGCAAAACGCCCTCCTCGAAATTCAACCGGCGCCTCGGTGGCCCTCCCTTTTCGTAATTTTTATCGCCGCCATATTTCCAACCACCACACACACCCCCTCGGAGCAACAATAGAATACTTACATCCACTCCGTCTGGAGCTTAGAAGCTTTACGATTCCGTGCTGCAGCGCGTATAATTCTTAGGAGTAGCAGGAGGGGGGGGCTTCGAGTTATATGTACACGGCATAAAGGAAGGAAGGAGGTAAGGAACAGCCCCCGGAGCCGAGGCACGCGCGCGACGTGGCTTTATATATACACATCCGAACCGGCTGAATAATTGAGCGACGCACATTGCCTATGTGGGCCCATGGCTGTAATACAAACTGTTGGATTTTCTGTGGCCACACACATGTGCGTGTAAATCTCCGTTTTGTCTTTTTCGAGGCGATGCCGTGTGTAACCGATCAATGATGCATCAGCGATGAGGCGACGGGACCTCGCTTGCTTTCGTTCATATGGACAATGTGCAAGCAAGTTTCTCGGGGCCACTCCCGTCTGCCGTATATATATATACGTGTACGCGCGGTCGTGAAATTTTCAAAGACCGAGAAAATTAGCCGAGAGAAATCGACTCGATTCCGGAGTGAGAGAAACTCGGGGGAAAAAAAAGAGAGCCACAGTCGGTGGTTGCGTATACGCGGAAGCGCAGGTTCGACGCGTGAATAATTGAGGGTCCTAAGCCCCTACGGCTCCCGAGGAGATAAAAATAGCGCTCGGATATTAAGCCGCCGGATATGTATACGTCTTCGGCGCTTTGCGGTGTGGTATAATGATGCTGGGAAGCCGATTCAGCGGAAAAGAAAGCTGCTGTTGATTTGCGGGTCGACCCTTTCTCCCTTTGGTTCGTGGATGGGAAATAATATAGAGCGGGTGGATTCGGGGAAATTCATTAGCTCGGCTCGTCGCGTGACTTTTGGAGAGTATACATGGTCTCCGGTGAAGAGGGTGGGCTTGGAGTTTTATCGCGCCCCGAGTGTTAGGAATCATCCTTACGGCCCGGCATCGGCGCATAAATACGGGAGAGGGAGGGGCGAAGGAGGCAATTCTTATCTTCGAGGGGCGGGTGGGGTGGATAGTCTTCTGGGAAGCAATAATTCTCGAATTATCATTGATTCGAGATTGCTTGGCGCAAGGAGGGGGAGGGTGAGGAAAAATGGAGGAAGGAAAACGCCTTCTTCTGCTTTTCGATGTAAGTTGCCTTTGGAAGTGGCGTGTGAGGCTCGCCGTGCTGGGTTCTTAAGGGCATCGTCTTTTGCATATTTCATGGGGGGATGCTGCAATGGTATACATGAGCAGGGAGTTGTTGGCGGGCGATACTGCGTGGAAACGTGCCGAGGGGCGGGGAGTGGAGAAGTGATATTCGGGGTGTTTTTTTTTTTCTTCTTTTCTTTTCTCTTCCTTCGCCGGTGGATGGAGCGTGTCGGAGGCGTTGGGCAGTTTTATTGCGGGTCCAACGGGATGGCTCGTGGAATTACTTTTTTATCCCCGTAATGCGTGCTGATTTATTTAAAATGACCTTATTTTGTGTCTTTTTTCAAATATTCATGTTTCATTCCATGTACAATGGTGAAATCGTTTGGTCAAGGTCATTGATGGATTTTTGGGCACATATTTTTAGACAATTTCCAAAAAATGATAGTAAAAACGAAAAGTAACAACTTGGAAGAATCAGAGTCTCAAAAAAATGTGGAAGGAACGCTGTCACGTTTTAAAATACAATTAAAAATTGGGACCGCGTAATCGATAAAGTTTTCGTAACCAATGAACTTCGAGTCAATATTATTGACCGAGGCTTAAACGTAAGTTACTTGTTAAACTATTAATTAATTAGTCATCAGTGACTATGAGAGTGCAATTGAATAAATAATACTACGGTACAGTTTTGAATAAAAACTTTCAAGCGTATGACTTGCAGAAATATCAGCTCGTGTCAAATTTTTCATTTAAACTTTAAAGACAACAGCTTATATTATCTACTTTACATTTAATTTCCACAGCTGTGAATTTACACTCAAAATAAAAATAGAGACTATATCGCCAATAAAATCCTATGTTTGCCTTTCAGTTTTTTTTTTTTTTTTTTTTTCAATACATTTTATAAAAAGTAAAGTCAACCTATTCCCTGCAAATTAAAATATTCGGTGTTCTTCATAAAACGATGGTCGGTAGCTTTTTTCTCAGCGTACACATCTGTACTACTGTAATATACATCGTTTACAATTCTAAACCAAAGAAGCTTGTATATATATACAATTAATTCCTCGCATTGTAATATCTTGAATCTTGATTCCTGCACTTGACTTGAACTGCGTTTGAGTTGCATAAAATATGTAAAAGCACGTTTTTAGGGGATAACAATGAAAATTGATAACAATGGATAACAATGTTCACTTTGTATGAGTCAGTTGAATTTTGGACTAAATATTGGTAGTAGCGCCATCAGGCGAGCTTACAAAGAATGACACGACAATACAGATCCCACAGACGGTCACGATAGGGTGTACGTGCAGGTGGTAATTCATTGTGTTTAAATGTATATCGATTGCGGTTTTACAAAAGATGACGGTGACACATAAGTACTTTCTCTCAAATTCTCTGGCAAACAAAATTATTTTTCACTCGGTACCAATAATATTTCTTATGCAGTACACTCTGTAGTGGTCCAAGGAAACTTACTTTTGGACGAATATCAATTATTAGTTTTTTGTGTTGACCAATATCCTTCAGGTACAGAAAATTATCCGATTTCCGCCGATTTCTTTCATTCTCATAATTACTGTTAAATTTGAAATATTACTTCAAATCATATCGTTCCAAAATACTTTAACACAATTTTAAAACGTTAATTACATTATTTGAAAAGCATACATGAGCTTTTTTACCAAGTTCAATTGAAAAAAAAAAAAAAAAATGATTCCATAACATGGTACTCATAAGAAGCATCTGATTATTTTTTTAGAATCAAAAATATCAAAAAAAACGGGATTGAAAAGTGAAAAAAAAAAAAGTTTTAAAAGCCTTTCGCTACAGTGACACCAAAATAACAACGCCTTGGCCAACTTTTAACTGCCCGTTTTTACGGCTAGGGTCGCCAGGTTATTCCCAGTTCCTTTTAACTCAGACAGAACCACCCCTTCACCTTCACCTCTCACTCTCGAGAAGGACCACTCTTCGCTTCCTTTTACGAGAACCGCCGCACAGTATCATTCTATTATTATTTCATCCCAGACGAAGGCCGGGGGTGTGAATAATTGATTTTTAAAGCAGTAACCGGCTTTTTGTTTAGTAACTGATTTACTGATACATTCATACCCCAGAAAATGGCTTATATATACTTGGACACGCAGTTTTCAAAAGTTGGCTCAACATCCTTAGTATCCGTACGTACCTTGTTGTATCTGTGGAGTAATTGGGCGACCCTGGTGAAATAAGAGAAAGAGATGTGAATTTCCTTTTTCCATCTCTGTTACACACGTGAATATGCTTTATTGCACAGATTGTAATATCTGCTGTTGTAACAGATAAGACAAAAAATATTAGCAGTGACGCCGATTTAAATACTCCCACTTCTGGGTTCAATTATTTTTGAAAGTGTACTTGCAGCATTATTGGTAGCGCTGGCGTTTACCAGTAGGTGTGTCCATCATATCATCACTACATCCTTCGAACGTCAAATTTTTGAATGCACTCTGTTGTCACGTACAGTATGGAACATACTACGTGAGATGGGCCTCAGCTATTAGTATTAGGAAGGAGCACAAGTGGGGGAGGTAAGAGCATAAAAAGGTCCGCAGCAGTGGCCACGGGGCTCTAGAACGTCGGGATTAGAAAGAGGATAGTCGCACTAAGTAACTCGGGACCGCAAAGCGCCTTCCCTCAAGGAATATAGCAATAAAGTGATTGATTGAGTTTAACTGCCGCGTTGTTATTAAGCACCCTGAACCTTTAGAATCCCACGTAACACTGTGCTCGGCACACGTGAACTGTTCTCTCACTAGAAAAAGCATTAGTCAACTGAGAGAAAAAAACAATAAAAATTATAGAGAAATTCCAGTAAAAATTACCATTCCACACAGTATATTAGATGCAAGTTGGCAAAAAAGGAAAAAAATTACTATTTTTAACAGTAAAGATTATTGTATTGACAGTCAAAATTATGGTTTAAAAAGTAAAAGTAAAAATTATGATTAGAAGAGTATAAATTTCGATGCGGGAAAGTAAAATTTATTAACCGATCTTTTTATGGTTCACTGTTCCAGCATGGTAATTTTTACTGTTCTAACCATAATTTTAACTATTAAAACAATAATGTTTACTGTTAAAAATAATAACTTTTCTCTTTTTTGCCAGGTTGCATTCGATGTACTGTGCGGAATGTTAATTTTTTCTGGAATTTCTCTATAATTATTGTTATTATTTTCTCTCAGTGTGGTAATTTGCTGGAGTAGAACTATATCCTTTCTCCATCGGCAGTGTTATTATTTTTGTTTTTATTCTAAAAAACGGATGTTTCGTCAAGTCGTTTCATTGGTAAATAAACTTTTGATAGGTAACAAAATAAATATAACAATTACTTTCTCAACTTACTATAGACAATTTATTGTTTTAACAAGGATAGACACGTATTTTATACGTAAATCTGCCAAAAGATATCTTCAAACTAGGAATATCAATTGAAAATTTTGTTTTCACCATGTTGGTGACAACACTGTACCTAGTCATTCAACAAATTTTTACATAAATTTTTCGTTTTGGTAACAAATAACATAGCATCGTTAGTTTGAAACGAAGTTTGAAGGACAAAGAGGGACATGATATTTATATCTATATGACGCTTCAACTTTTTTTTTAAGTTTCATAAGTACGCCAATGCAGTTGAGAATTAGGAAACGTGCGAACGTCTACGGACAGCTCGCTGTTTGTCAAAGCGCATCTCCATCTCTTCTAAGACTTTCGGTGTGTAACGTACCACAAGTGTCACGCTGTCACGAGCCTGTTTCAACAGTTCAACTGCCCTTTCGTGATTTTCACCTTCGACGCACTAAAACACAAAATATAATGCAAATTCAGTTTATTAATGTTTTAACGAAGAAGTTATCTAATTATTTGATCATCAAATGTGCAGGAGCATAAAATAGAAAATGGATTTGAAAAATTAAGAATTAGAGAACTTCAAAGAGAGACACTGACGTAGAGACACGATTACTCAAAGTGTCTTATAAATTGGAATAAATTGGAAAAACTTGAAGATGTAGATGTAGAGTCAATAACATAGAGATAGAACAAGTATAGAATATTGAACATAAAAACATGGAGATTAAGATCCCAAATTGCAGTAACGAAAAGTCGGAGGCCAGGATGAACAAAGCGCCAATCATGGAAATGGTCACATGTATGGATGTTAAATATAAATAAATAGAGACAGAATTAAAGATGGTTAGAAATAATAATAAGTAGTTTATTTTAGCAAAATTTTTCTTAAAATTTTAAAGAAAAATAGAGCCGAATACACAGTGCAAGAACCGCGCAGACGTAGAGACAAATATGAATAGACAGAGAATAATGTAAGTGGCTATAGCAAAGATACAAAATAAATAATGTAAAGATTAAAAGTCAGAAAATGAATCCATAGATGATATAAATTTATAGGTATTAATGTTTATCAAATTTTGCAATGCAGGAAAACGGTCGAGATATAGAGAGTAGGAAAAACACACGTAGAGATATAAAAATCCAGAGGCATTGAAACTAAGCCAAATGGAAAAATACAGAAAATATATAATTAGAGAATAAAAGATGTGGACCCAAAAACAAAGATGAATAAACGTAAACTCCGTAATATAAAAGATCTAGCTATAAAGACAGATACAATGGAAGAAAAGCATTGTTAGAGTAGCGGAAATAGAATAAGGAAAAAAAATGCAGAGGCAGAGATTTAGAGACAGAGACGTAAATATAATACATGAAAAAGACGTGGACGCGTAATGACATGAAAATTTTATATATTCTGTAAGTGAAAAAGATGGAGACAAAAGTATCTTTGACTTACGACTCCGTTGACGGACAACAACTGATCTCCACGCTTGAGACCCCCGTGCCTATCAGCCACGCCACCTGGAATGATGCGCGATATGTAGATGGGCGAGTTTTGCTCGCGACCGCCCATCACGTTAAAACCTAAACCTTCCTCGGTTTTTGGCAGTTCGACGACTCTTGGATGGGCGTGACCTTCGCTGGCTGCGAATGCGGCCACTGTCGCCTTAGCCGTTGCCGAGGCTCGTACATCTTGGGAGCCCTAAAATGTGGGTTCATCATGTTACTGATTCATTTTTTTTATTTTACGTTTAATCGCGTACGTCATTAATTTTCGTTGAAGCTCGTGTGTCTAGTTTCAAAGAAAAACTATGTTAAAAAGACACTTCGGAATAGCGCAAGCGTTGGGTTTAAAAATAGAAGCTATTTTTATGTACCTCATTACACACTATTTTAATGAATAACACGTGTACTTTTTATAACTTCAATATTAGATTAACAAAACTGTAAACAATTTTTAGTTCATAATAATTAATATAAATAGTTGATCACCTGTACATCTACAGTGTCATAGATGTGTTCATAAACTTCGCGAATGGCATGTAAAAAATCGCTTTGCAAAACTTTTTGTAAGGCTGCCAATTTAGTAGCTGGAATTTCACCACCTGTGAAGATTAAAACATTAAATAAAAAGTAAGTTAAAGATTTCATTTGATTACGGTTCTACAATTACCTACTTTTTTGTATTTTTTCCAGTAATTCTATGGATCTCTTTATATCTGGAAAAAACTTTTTCTTCATCAATACTTCACGGTAAATTTTATAATTATCATAGTTGTAAGCCAAACTACCTTCATCAAGAGTAAGACCACCGTCGACAGCAGCCATGCCGACTTGATATTGAATTCCACGGACTAAATACTTTTCTATAAAGATTTTTTGAACAATTAGTAAGTAATTATTAAAATAACTTCCATCTTACTTTTATTTTTTATCAAAGAAACGTTTCAATTACATGAAATGGATAATTGATTGAACAGCGTAATTATTCTACTTTATATCGCTTTTAGATATATATAGTTTAACATTATACATCACATTTCTGAAACTTCGTTCCCATTCTTATATGAACAGAAAATTTCTCATCAGCTTAGGTGCATCATGATTATGGTTTAAGAGGTATTCTATTGATATACAAAGGTTATTTCATAAGTAACGTAGTTCGTTACTTCAGCCTTGAAAAGTACAAACATGATTACGATAATCAAGAAACCGATAAGTGCAATGCTGAGAAATTAATTTCTAGACTTAAAGTAGACCTAAATATTTTTCTCTGACAATAAAAAAATAGGCACGTTTATGTATACATGCAGGGCTGTAGTTACTAAAAAAAATGACAGCTCTATTAACACTTCAAATACATCATCACTATCATCACATGCAGAGATGATACTAGATAAATTCTAACTTTTGCATCACGAGGAAAAATCAAAATCCAACACTCACTATGACGTATGCTTGTAAACACAAACCTAACATCAAATCTCACGTGAATTCTATATTTAAAAGCGAATTGTGAATATAAATACCCAAACATGTAGCAAACACTTCAGATCTTAACACTTACATCTGACAACCCTTTCAATGCCTTGAGATCAAAAGTTTTGCGGTGACAACAACACCACCACTAACATCTTTATGGTCGTAATTATCAGCTGCAGAAAAGATTCTGAATTACAAGGGGGAAAAAGCAGTGTTGGCTTACTGTCGTGCACTCACTAGGGGAACGTCGATGCATTTGCGTGCGGGAGGTGGTTCGGACTTCGACCCTTCGGAATTGGCTTACGAGGTCAGCTCTTCTGTTCACTGGTAACTTACCCTCTGCTGATGAACTATCAACTGAAGGGTGTATGTTATTCGTTTAGGGGGAGGATACCGTTCGAAGGGATGGCTGAAAGTGGATAAAAGAGTTCGATTTGGGTTCGAAAATAAAAAAATGTTCGATATATTTCATTGGTAATTATTTTGGAAAAGTAGATAAAGTTCCAATCCATATTATATAGATACTACATTTGAAACTTATTTTTGTTTTCAATAAGTGTCAATTTATAAAATTGTTATGTTGGAGCAGGGATTTTTGCTAAGAGCAAATCATAATTTATTCTAACAAACGGTTCATGTATTCAATTGTACTCTAAAAATATGTAAAAAAATTTCTGACTCACTTTTTTAATATAAGTTAACACATAAATTTTATAGATAATAAAATATACAGCTGAAAAAGATAATTTTTATTTTAAAAAGTTTTCACTTCCAAACAAAGTTTTAGTCTAGTTTTTTTCGATGTATTCGTAAATTTTTACCATTCCCTTGTTTCTGTTAATCCTTAAAAAGTTAAGATTGGTTTGGCTATAACTTTAGCATCAAAATAAATTTTTTTTTTATTGATATCCTTACACCTCAATATTTACGGCATAAAACTATTTACAATTTAATTTCGAAGTAAATTTGTTGCACAATATTTATATTATTGTAAGGTCATAAATTTTGCTGTAAATTTTTACAGAA